AGGGTGGGAGCCTGCGGTTGTGCCTGGTGTCTGAGGCAGTTCTTTACGAAACTTGTCGGATATCCGTTGGATCGAAACAACCGATACAAGTAGGCAAGCTCTTTCTTAAGGAGATCGTCGCTGTTGCAATACCGATAGGCCCGGTGGAACAGAGTTCGAACGCAGCTCCTTTTGTGAGCTGCGGGGTGGTTGCCTCCATAATTGAGGATAATTTCGGAATTAGATCCTTTCCTATGGACGCTCGTCGCGAGACTACCATCGCTCAGCCTTTGTATTTTCACATCAAGAAACGGCAGGCTGTCCCCTATTGCCTCTTCACGAGTAAACTGTATGGCCGGGAAGACGTCATTCAGCCTCTGATGCAGCCGTTCAACTTCGCAGTTCTTTATCACGACAAAGGTATCGTCTACATAGCGAAGCCACACTTTGGGGCTGAGATCTTGGAAAACCTCCTTTTCTAGTCGCTGCAATGCAAGTTCTGCGAGCAGTCCAGATATTGGCGAGCCCATTGGGGTTCCCTTTACCTGTTGGTAGAACTTATTATCGAATTGACAGTAGTTTCTAAGGCAGAGTTTGCGCAGTTCTATAATATGCTGAGTTGGAATCTCAATAGGATTCTCCTGTAAGCGTTGGGCTACGCAGTCAATTGCCAAATCGTGTGGTATGGAAGAAAATAAGGCAACGACGTCAAAGGACAGGAGGCATTCATCGGCACTTACTTCGAGTCCTTGGATCCTTTGGAGGAACGCGAGAGAATTGTTGATGCTGTAGTCAGATCCATGGGTTAACTGCTTCAGATGCTTGTACAACCACTTAGCTATATTGTACGTAGGTGATCCGATGAGTGGTACAATAATCCTCAGTGGGGCGTCCACTTTATGCACTTTTGGGAGACCATACGCGCGTGCGATATGGGGATCACTGAGGGTCATCAGCTTGGAATCATCTGGACTTATGACTTTCAGACGAGTGAGCTCATTAACCTTTTTCTTGATGGCAGCGGCTTGCTTTTTCGTCGGGTCTTCGGCAAGAAGGGTGTAGGACGCTACGTCACCGAAGATTCCATTCGCCTTGTTGACGTATTCAATTCTGTCCATGACGACAGTAGCGCCACCCTTGTCAGCGGGAACAACAACAATATTGTGGTCCGATCTCAGTGATTGTAATCCTTGTGCTTCATCGGCCGGTAGGGTTTGTTGGCGTCTTTTTTGCCGAAGGATACCAGTGGCACAGCTGCGTATGTCTGCGCGCCTGTCTTCTGGAAGGGCTGAGGCCAGTAGAACTGACTCGAGGCCAGCTAGGAAGTTGGTAGGCGTGGCATCCGTATGATTAAATCCGATTCCCTTGGACAGCAGGCTGATTTCGGCTGGTGAGAGAATCCTCTTCGAAAGGTTAACGACTCTTGTGGTCATACTCCTCTCGTTCGTATTGCAGAGAAGAGATTGGAGTTCCTCCTGGAGACAAACACGCTTCTTCAATCTCGCATCCATATGTTGAATAACTGAAGTAGTATACATTCCGAGATGATATTATGAAAGGAAAAAGTCTGTCGAAAAAAAGTTTTACTCGTACATTTTCGACCTGATTACACCAACAAGTAGTCAGACGAAGTGAATAGTGAGAGGTGGGATTGTCACACTAGTGGTTTAGGACGCAGACAGAGGTAAGCAGACGACCTTGCCAGGACGAGGTGT